GTGTGTGTGTCTGTGTTTGAGAGAGTGTGTGTGTGTGTGTGTGTGTGTGTGTGTGTGTGTGTGTGTGTGTGTGTGTGTGTGTGTGTGTGTGTGTGTGTGTGTGTGTGTGTGTGTGTGTGTGTGTGTATGTGTGTGTGTGTCTCCTGCCCCACCTCCCAAACTTTCTTTTTAGTTATTGTTAGTTGAGCTTAAGCAACATGCCACTTGAACTTTATTTCAATTAACTTAGTAGTAATTATTGTCCTACATTTTAAATGTGTTTTACAGAGAGGTTTCACATCTGCCTGGTCCTAGCGGACCACAGGCGGCGTATATCAAGGAGCCAGAACCTCCAGCTGTGCCTGCCACTAGGTCAAGATACACTGTGGCTCAAGGGCCTTCACCACTGCCATCACCACCAAGGACCAGCAGACCAGCATCACTACAGCTGCCTCCACCTCCATCTGTGCCTGCCACCAGGTCAAGATACACCTCGGCACAAAGGCCTCCACCACAGCCAACAGCATCAACTCAGCCAGCAAGGTCTCTTACGTATATCACACGTACCCCCCACACAGTCATCACCATCAACCCGGCCAGCAAGGAGGTCTCTTAGAGCACACGTACCTCCCACTACGCCACTTTCGGGTCCCGGGGGGCTACAGCTGGCAGCGAAGTAGCCCCAGAGATAATTGTTTCTTCTTATTTTTTGTGTATTAATTTAAGCGGGTCAAAGTTGCATCTTATTAATCGGCCTAGTTTTACCTTACCAGAGCAGTGGTAAGGTAATCTGTAGAAAAACACTGTATTTAGGTTAGCCTTCACAGTAAGGCTACATTAAATGTTGTAATATTCATTGTGTATACTGTATATGTATACTCCCTGTGTATTGATTTTATTTTTATTTAATTTTATTATGTTTATCCTCCAGAGACCCACCCATTCATTTTTGTCCTGGGTTTTGGTCCATTACTTTGAGGTTATACATGCCACTGCATTAATTGTACCAAGTCCAAGTGTACTCCACAGAGGACATCCTGGGCTTTTCAAACATATGACATATGTGGGGGTGTGGCTTTGAAAAAGATAATTTCTTTGTATTTCAAAATGGCATCCATCAACACAAGCACTATTTATAGAAAGATGAATGGTAAGTTTGTAATTTTGTAATTACCAGTGTTGTGAGTTCAATATTTTTAATTAATTATAGTAAGGGAACATCTTAGGAGTTAGTGTAGTGAGTTTTCAGAGCCGTGTAATACTCATTTGACCTAAAACTAAATGTTTTTATGAATGTCCTCTGAGGAGGACATGGGGATATGCTAACTTTTTATTTCCCCCATTTTGCACAACACAAATGGAGTCCACTATGGGCCACAACTAACACTTAGGTTTCTGTAGTGTTCATGGCAGACGGATGCAGTAGGAAAACATACATCAAGTGTCGGATGTATCTCTGCATTTCAGAAAAGGATGGAGTACTACAAATAAGGGCTCAATATGTGTTGCATTGAGTTGCTGTGCTCTAATGTTGTCTAAATGTACTTGTATGTTAATGTTGTTTGTATACTATGCTTCGCATANCTAACACCTGATGTCCTCTACAAAGGACACACAATAAAACAAAAATGAAAATATATTTTTTTAGTTTTTGTTAGTCATTATGTTTATACCACCCTAAAGACTTGTGTGATCAATATTTTGAAACATTTTTCTTTCTGGGCCACAGGAGGATTTATACTTGTTTTCCACCTTTTCCCACACATTTCCCAATTTGGGATGAATGAGATAGATTGATAGATGGGGTAGGCAGGCAGGCAGTAGGCAAATTGGGAAATGTGTGGAAAACAAGTATAAACATAATACAATTAAATACAAATAAAAGCAATAAACAGGAATATACATAAACAGTAGAAAGGATCACGATGAATATTACAACATTTAATGTAGCCTTACTGTGGAGGCTGACCTTAATACGGTGCTTTTCTACAGATAACCTTACCACTGCAATGGTAAGGTAAAATTAGGCCGATTAATAAGATGGGAAGTGCTTTGTAACTTTGACCCGCTTGAATGAATACACAAAAAATATGAAGAAAGAGTTATCTCTGGGGCTGCTTCGCTGCCAGCTGTAGCCCCCCGGAACCCGAAGGTGGCGTAGCTTAAGTAGCCTACTTCAACATCAATGCATACGAATGTGCTTGAAATAGGCTGTATTGAACAAATAAATTAAGACAAACTAACTGTATCACTATAACATGATGGTGATAAAGAATGCACCTAACGTAGCGCTGTTCATTAAAGTAATACAAAAACGACACATTAAACAAACCATCATGCTCTTACTTTGAAACCTTGAAATCCGGAAATGTCCTCATCAGCGGGCCATCACGTGGTCAGGGGCACCGCCAGGGATTTTGGGCCCCATGAAAAGATATCACATTGGGCCCCACCACCAGGCACAGACCACACCAACCAAGCACAATTGCTGTAACCACACCTCCAGAACCCAACCAACTCATTTATGCTTTAAATAACTCTATCTTGTAGTCCATTACTAACTGCACAATATTTATTGACACTGAGCTGTGAAAATATAACACTGTGCAGACGTGCAACATTCTGCTGTAGTAGAATTCACTATTTGATATAAGACTAACATTCCTGACAATAGATCTCAATAGTCATCTTTTATGGTGTAAACGCCTTTTTAATAATATTACAAATTACATTTTTGAATGGAACGTTCTCAACATGAATGCATAAATCCAAATAAATATAACTTAAATATGTGGAAAAATACTGTGTTTGAAATGTATAATTGAAATTAGATGTTAGCTTGTTGTTTTGATATATATATATATATTGTATTCCAGTCTCCCTTCAGATATGTTAAGTGGTATTCAACACAATGCTGCTCACCTCCTCAGTTGGAGAAAAGCTGGTNGATGAATATTACAACATTTAATGTAGCCTTACTGTGGAGGCTGACCTTAATACGGTGCTTTTCTACAGATAACCTTACCACTGCAATGGTAAGGTAAAACTAGGCCGATTAATAAGATGGGAAGTGCTTTGTATCTTTGACCAGCTTGAATGAATACACAACAAATATGAAGAAAGAGTTATCTCTGGGGCTGCTTCGCTGCCAGCTGTAGCCCCCCGGGACCTGGAAGTGGCGTAGCCTAAACACTTCAACATCCATGCATACGAATGTGCTCGAAATATGCTGTATCTAACAAATAAACTAACACAAACTAACTGTATCACTATAACATGATGATGATGATAAAGAATGCACCTAACGTACCGCTGTTCGTTAAAGTAATACAGAAACGACACATTAAACAAACAATCATGCTCTTACCTTGAAATGCGGAAATGTCGTCATCAACAGGCCATCATGTGGTTTCGTGTAACCGAGTGACACGAGCAGATTTCGGTCGAGACCGGCGGAAAGTTTGTCTCAAAACTCTGTGTGTGTAAAAAGACGATCCACAAGCAGAGATTTGAGATCCACAAGCGCATTTTTGGTTGACAAATACAAAATGGATTGACAAATGCCTGATTGGAAGTTGTCAATGTTAAAGAGATATTCACAAATTCCTTTTGTTTATTTGTAAATTAATTGTAGTATTCACAGATCTTTTTTTTATTTGTGAAAATATTTTGCGTATTTGCAGATCTGTTTTACATTTGCACATTTATTAATGAGTTTGCAAATCTTTTAAATGCATTTGTGGATGGTGTTTTACATTTACAAATCACATATTTACACACAAATTATTTTTATGTTCACACAAATAATTATGAGACAAATTTAAGCCCATTGGGTCTCCACTTCTCCGTCCCCTCTTTCCTAGAGCTGAGCATCTCGGAGCAATGGCTCATAAATCCTGAGGCCTTTCAGCAAAGTCTTTATTAGTTACAATTTTATTAATTACACAGGCACAGTTTCTCAACATTTCCTCATACTCTCTTCAGTCGAATCACTCAACACCCACTTCAGCTGTTCCAGAATGGGAAGATGTATCCCTTTAATTCTGTTTTTAACTTGACAGGCTCTGTGAAGGTTCGCAGAGTTTCTCTTCCTTGTTATGTACAGTAGCTGAATAATGCTTTTAAGTCTTACAATAACTCATCTTACTGCGATTCTTGTCAGATCGTCTCTAATTCTTAATCCTACTTTTGATGTTGTGATGCTTATTAGCCAGGAAAACATAATCATTTTCAGTTTTTCATTGTCAGAGACAACTTTTAGTAAATGTAATTAGAAATGTTACAAT